TGAGTCTCACTTTGTTTCCCAGGCTGGAGTGCAGTGGCTCAATCTTGGCTCACTGCACCCTCTGCTTCCCAGGTTCAAGCAATTCTTCTGCCTCAGCCTCCTGAGTACCTGGGATTACAGGTGCCCACCACCATGCTCAGCTAACTTTGTATTTTTAGTAGAGATGGGGCTTCACCATGTTGGCCAGGCTGGTCTTGAACTCCTGACCTCAGGTGATCTGCCTGCCTCAGCCTCCCAAAGCTGAGATTACAGGCATGAGCCACCGTGCTCAGCCTACTATGTATTTTTATCTACCAGCTTCTGTATATCTCTAGTTTCTTCTTCAGGCACACTCAGTTTATTTTCAAAATGAACACACCTGTGTAACAGCACACGCACTCAATGAAGAAATACAGAATTACCCTAGCACTCTAGGATAACTTTTCTGTACCTTCCTAGTTATCACCCTGCCGTAGGAGTGTTCAACTTTTATCACTATAAATTGTTTCTGCTTGTCTTTTAACTTTAACTTTGTCTTGTCTTTTAACTTTATCTGTGTATTTAATCTGTATATTCTATGTCTGGCTTCTTTTGTTTAATATTATGTTGGTGAGATTTATCCATGTTAAATTGTTGCATCTAGTTATAGTTCAGTTAATCTCATTGCTGAATATTATTATTACCATTTGTTTCATGAGTGGAGAAACAAGCCCAGAAAGATTAAGAAACTTGCTTAAGGTTGTAGAGTTCAGTCCGAGCAGTATGACTGTGAAGCCTGTGTTCTCAACCCCTGTCCTCTGTAGCCTCAGCTGCATGTATGATTAATGAAATGCAAATAAGATTTTTTGTTATTGTTGTTAACCATCAGATTTCGGTTGAAAATAGGTTAATCATTTCTCAGATCTATTCTCTAATCAACATTTCCATGGATCTTATAATCCACGTCACTTCATTTCTTACCTGAAACCACTTTGATAAATGCCTGCTAATCTCCTGGTATCCACTCCTGACTGTCTATAGCCCATTCTCCATAGAACAACCAAAGTGATCATTTAAACCTAAGGTATTATTATGACTTCTCTGCTTAATGCCATCTAGTGACTTCCCTTTACATGTGGAATAATGTCCCTTACAAAGCCCTTCTTGGTATGCCTCTGCCCATGTCTTCACCCTGATCTTGTGCTACACTCTCCGTCATTCACTGTGTTGCAGCCTTATTAACCTTTCCCCTCTTTGAACAGACCAAGTTTATCCTGCGTCGGGATCTCTGATGGTTTTAAATGCTCCTATCCTAAATATTTATATGACTGTTTCTTTCTCATCATTCAGGTTGCTGAAATGTCATTCTCCTCAAGGTTGTCTTTGATTATGAAATTCAGAGTCAAGTTTCGGACTCATTCTATAAGCCTTACATTTACTGCATTTTCTTAACTCATCAATATCACATTTTATCTCACTTATTCACTTGCTTAAAAATTTCCGTGTCCCCAAAGTAGAATCTAAGCTCCAAGAGGTCCAGAATGTTTCTAAATTCGCTCTGCTAACTCCTGTGAGTACTGATTGATAAAATGAAAAGGCTAATTTTAATGCAGTCTGATTCAAAACTTAGTTCAATCAGCATATTGTTCTCCTGGTAATTATTTAGTCATTCAGATTCTCCTCTGTATCCCTCTTCTCTAGTAAGGTGGTGTTTAAGATACCAGGGAAGATATTCATAGCTTGGGTATGTGCTGGATGTGGTCAACTGAATCTGATTTAGCTAGCTCCTTTTTCTGGGCATTCAGTGGCTGATGAATTTATGGTGTATTTCACAGTTCAGTGATGGTCCAAGGACCCCTCTTTATGAACTGGCCCCCTTTGGTTCTTGCTATCTCTGTAGATCTCTCTGAATTTGTCATGCTTCCCAGATGGTTCCTGGGTCCCCTGTATCCCACAATATGTAGGATAATCTTGCCCTTTTTTTTTTTTTTTTTTTTTTTTTTTTTCTGTTTGTACCTACATGTTTGAGTGACCAAAACGTTAATGTTTCTTTCTTCTCAACCCAAAATTTTACTCACCAACGATAAAACCTCGCCAAAACACAGACCTGGTTTTTTTTTTTTTTTTTTGGAAAAAGGTCTTGTTCTGTCATCCAGGCTGGAGTGCAGTGGCACAATCTCAGCTCACTGCAACCTCTGCCTGCTGGGTTCAAGCAATCCTCCCGCCTTTCGCCACCCAAGCAACTGGGAGTACAGGCACATGCCCCCATGCCTGAATAATTAAAAATAATAAAAATTTGTAGAGACAAGGTCCCACTATGTTGCCCATGCTGATCTCGAACTCCTAGGCCCAAGCAATCCTCCTGCCTCAGGCTCCCACAATGTTGGGATTATAGGCGTGAGCCACACCCAGCCTCATCTTGCCTTCTGGAATGACTCCATTTCATCCTACTCAAGGTCTGTGCTACATGGGAACTGAACGCTACTTAGAAGTTATTCTCCCAGTTTAACATGGCACTCTTCCACTTAACTCACTGCCTCTCTCCCATTTC